AGCATTGATTGAAGTTTCTGAATTATAAATAATTCTTACAAATAGTTAACCTCGTAAGAATGAGAGCACATCCAAATAGTCTCTATTTCCTATGTAGATCTATGCTCTATTGATAACTTCAGAGAACCACGATTTTTTTTTCTCTGCAACAAAAGCAACGAGAGCTGCATGGACAAGGTGCCCTCTAACTCTGTACTACATATTCACAGCTAGATGAACTGGATTTTTGTTGACCGTGAACATTAATCGTGTAGTGATTTAATTTACTGTAAGACTACAGGGCACCTTCATGTACACAGAACAGAATCAATTTTACTTGATTGCCCCTTGCCAAAGAAACACATGGAAAACTGACTTTTAAAAAATCGCTAAAAAGACAATATTTTTTGCCTGACACAAGAGACAAATTACAAATGCAAAATAATCCTGCAATACCATTTTGCAGAAAGCACAGAGTAAGGAGGAAAAGATAGGCACTGAGGTTGTAATTTGCTAAAGCTGGAGTCTAGACAGAATCTCAGAGCAGCTGACTTTTGAACTAAGAAAACTTATCCGGGCCGCTGAAGTCACACGCAGGTGTACAGGACTCAGCAGCAGATAACACCCCAGCTGCCACATTTCCAGCAAAGGACCATACACTGTACTGGTGAATGTTATCCAGGAGGGATGATGCCACTGTATCACTGCCATCCTTTTTAAAAGTTTTCTCGTTATTCTTCAGGCCTTTTTCTTTGTATGTGTGTGTGGTATTTCTCAGAATCACATGACCAGCTGTTATTGCTGCAGGTTATGCAGAGGATTTACACGTATCCGCTGCCAAATGGTTGGAAAGCTATTGTAGAAATACTAATCTATAACGCAGTTACAGTCATTCTTAGAAAAAATACCTTCAATTACAGCTTTCATTCTTTCCTTAATAAGTACATTCTTCTTACAAACGATAGTTCTTACAGGATGCAGGACCTAGCTAATTCTCTATAATCACAAATGAGCACTAATGATTCTCCTTTTATATGTATTTTTTTTGTATAGCATCATTCGATTTTGGATTGTAAGAACAGTAATAACTGAGTATGAATAACAGGCATGGATTCATCTGCTATTTCAAGAGAGGTTTCTTTCCCTCCTTGTCTCCCGCTTCACTAGTTTAATAACAACAGCAACATCTCATTTCATACCTTAAGACAGCTCAGTATTGCTAAGCTTGTTCCCTGCCAAAATGGAAGCAACGTCAGGTAACAAAACGTAAAGGATGACTGCTTTGTCTTATAGCCCCACAGTAATAAACACCAGAACTGAAGACTGTAAATCATGCCAGCATTTCGGGCCAAGGCTGGAGTGCTCAAGCTTCTAGCAACCAGAATAAGAAGAATGTCACTGCCTGACCAAGGAGGGCTCATCCTCTGCTGTCAAATTTGGCCAGTGTTAATGCCCTGCAAAATTTCTAAGCTGCCTCAATAGCTGCCCCTCAGGGAGGGCTATTCAGGCCATAGCAATTCTTGCCCTTATTCAAACAGTATGGCTGTGGCTACATGCAACACACAGTGAACAAAACATCCGATGCAGGTATGCCAGCTGTGTAACTGCCTGGAGATCATACAAAGCTGCAGAAGGATGCCCTCTGTCCATAAAAAGTTGCATACTGTATGTTAGATGATAGAAGCTACAACAATAAACATTGTTACAAAATATAGAGAGAGAGAGACTAAGAACAATAAAAACAGGTTTACAACTATGCTGTTTTTATTGCTTTATGAGAGGTAGCAGACAGGACAACCTGCACTCTGCAAATCATTGAAGCAAAATACCCTAAATTAATTTTCAAGAAAACCAACATTCATATCAGAGCTAAAGGAAATTTTAATATCTGTGCTACATGCATGCATCTCAGATTCAGAGGGGAAGGCTTGGATAAGGAAGGCATTTGGACATTTTAGCTCAATTTTCAAACATAAGCTTGATGATTCTTCCTCCACTGCTCCCATTTGTCAGCACTAACCCACAGCCACAGTAGAGGGAAACAAGAGGCAACGCAATGACTAGCTGAGAGATGTCTGGCTGAAACACAGAGCAGTCTGAGAGTCTAATCCAGGCTTTATATTCAAAAGGAGAAGAAAGCAGATACAGTAACTAAAGCTTTCGTCTTACACTTATTTCTACTGAATAACTGCTCTCAGAACGGAGCTGCTCACAGTTGCATTTAGTATGGACTTCACAAATAACTCTTCATTAGTACAGCTTAGTAGTAAAGCGGCGGTAGTCACAATTATTTGAAGCTCTATGAAATATGCAGATTGATCTTTTTAGTTTTAAGATCAAATTATTTCCCATCATTCCAATTTCATCCTTACTTCAAATAACTTGGTTAATAGCAGGCAAGGGGTTTCAGCTTCATAAATACAATAAGGGAGCTGAAGAATCTCTCTCTGATGAGTACTTCATTACAATGCTTCCTTGACTTCTCATTTTCAGCAGTTATCATCAGTAGTTCCGCAAAGCCTTTCTAATGGACAACAGGCTGGAGTTCAGGGGAGCAGAAGGCATGGATGTGGGTTGGCTTTTTATAGGAATATAATGGAAGGGTTAGGAAGCATAGGGTTGTGGAAAGAAAATGTGACAGATATTACTCTTACGCATGCTACAGCCAGCCATCACGTGTCGTATGACAGGAAATTCCTAACAGTAACATAGAACACCTTCACTGAGACAAAATGGAACTCGAACAAAATCCCATGCCCGCTGTACATATTACATTTTCAGAATCAGTCAAGATCAACTATAAATCTTTTTCGTTGCATTTTTGATCCACGCTTGGAAAGTTTTGGAGGTTTTTAAGCATTTTAAGATTCATCTCTATGTTCTCAAGCTGTAGCTTCATTTATTTAAAACTCTTTATCTGGTCTGTGTGTGTAGCACACTAGATATCCCAAAATCCTTAATATTTAGCTTCAGCATGGCATCAGAAAACATTTTCTAGCACTGATTAACTCACAGATCCTGAAGACCCCCTCTCTCTGTTCCTCCCACTGCCCAGACCATGCCTCACCCTGAGGCAGGAATGGTGCTGACACAGCCTGAGGCAGGCTGGGTGCACTCAGGCAGCCCTGACCTGCAGGACTACTGCACCAGCCTGAAGATACTCCATATGTTACCATTACCAGCTCAGGAAAAAAAAAAAAAAAAAAGCCAAAAAGCCTGTGTTGTTTTCTTTTTGTCCATGACAATCCATTTTGTTTATTGAGCTGAATCTCATCACACCTTGCAGCAAAATTGAGAATCACATAATAAATACCTGGAGACTGCTAAAATTATTAAAACAACGACAACAGGCAGTGTGCCCTGGCCTTGATCTTCCAATCACTGAAATGCTCATTTAATTGAAGCCTTTTGGACCAAGCAGTTAGAAAGAACGTTATAAAAAAACAACTCAGAGAAGCCTCCACAAGACAATGAAGTATCTTAGTGAATAATGTATGAGAAAATTTGTTGCATTTAATGTTTATTTGGCATAATAGTAGGTCTGAGCTTACCATCTTTGACAAATATGACTCCCAGAGTCTGACTGATCACCGCTGTATCTCTGGGCACTGCTTAAGGACATCTCCACTAAGCAGAGCATTTGCTGACATTGTCCCCAGTGAGCAATGGTCATTACTGCTCACTCTCATTAAGCCAGAGCTGCTCCCTAGCAGATGTTCTAGTAAAAGAGCCATCCCAATTTGATACATTTCCCATTAAAAGAATAAATAATGTATTTTCTACTAAAATGATATTAAAATACTGGGAGATTCGTGAAAGTCCTCAGTCTCATTCAGAGCAAGAGGAGGACAGCACTTTGCAATATACGACGAGAGTTTTTGCTACCAACACATCAGTGTTACAGCTAAATTATGATATTCCAAAAACGTCAGCCTTCATAATGGCAGAAGTAACCACAATTTCAATAAATTGGAAGGACACATCAAGGTCTATAAAGCAACGGGATGAAAGGAGTTTTTAGCCTACTACATGTTCCCCGTCCCTTCCCTGCCATTAGCTGCTTGCCTTCCAAGGAGCTCAGTGAGTGCAAAGGCTGTTACATGTCTGTAACAGCATCCCTCCGAACTCAGCTTTAAAGACAAAACTCTAACACATTACATGCATAAATCAAACATACAGGTGGCAATACTTGTGGTGGACTGCGCAGCAGCCACACACAGCTGTGCACATCAGTAGACACCAACAAGACCACATAGTCCTGCAGCTGAAGCTTCAGTGGCTCAGCACTGCAAGGAGCAATGCTCCCTGGTGCACTGGGAGCGAGAGGACAAGCGAGCAGCCAGCAGGAAGCAGCAATTCCAGAACCCAGAACACCCTGCCTGGACCAGATGATGCAGGAAAACAGACCTATCCACTGTATGAAACATAGAAAGCTTATTTTCTCAAAAAAGGCATCATTGCACTGGACGCTTGGAAGCAATAATCAGCTTCTGAAAGTTTACAAGAGACTGTGGATTGTTAGTCTGATCTTTCCACTAGGATTAATTGTAAGCAGCGTAAGCAGAATCATAAAGAAGCTTCAGAGGAAAAAAAAAATATCTTCCCTATAATTAATTGTGCCATTTGACTAATAAAACAACTTATATTTCCATTAACCAAGATGCATGCAAAGAGACTCGATTTTCAGATCCACTTGACGTAAACACAGCTTATCTTAATGAATCCTTCTGCAGGCTTTGCTTTCTGGAAAGCATTCATCTCAAATAAAAAACTTTTATCAACACCTAAGCAGTATTTTTATTTTTATAGCCTCAGGTATGATGCAGGAGCTAAGATGGGATCCAGCAATGTATTTGTGTTACTGAAGACGGCACCACCTCAAGGACCGGCCCGGCTGTAGCTGTGTCAGCCCTGGGGCAGACGACCAAACACCTTCAGCCTGCAGCCAGCGGTCCTAGCACTGTGATCCGCAACTAACCCGAGTGCTTGCAGCCACCAGGGCAGCCCCAGGCAACCCGTACCTCAGATGCACACGGAGTCCATCGTCCCTTTCCTGTCCGTCCCTTCTTATCTTGAAAAGAGCCATGCAATTACTTGCAAGTCTTTTCAGGATTTGCTGCAACACCATCTGAAAAAATTTCCAAGGTGATGTCGCGCTTGTTTGGTCTTTTTTTCCGCTTCTGTGCCAGGCCCCGTGCCCAGCGGCGGGCAGCAGAGCGGGGTCCCGTCAGGCGAAGCGGGCTGGGGGCGGCACGAGGCGAGGGAGCAACGGCTGAGCAAAAAGGGCGGGAAGCGGCCGTGCAGCACCGCGCCGAGCGGAAAGGGCGGGAAGCGGGCCCTGCTTTTCTTTCTGACTCGGTAAAGCGCACGTGAACGGAAAAATACTTTGAAAAGGCAGGGGATGACACTCCAAATTAGCAGGACTGGAGCTTCTGTTGAAGTGCTTTCCTGAATCGAGTTCTGGATCGAGTGCTGCGTTGTTTAATCAGAACTTCATTTGCATTCCCTCTTTTTCACTGGATTGAAAGCACCTCGTGCATTCCTCCTCGTGATTCGAAGACATTAAACGCTCTCACTCACTATTTGCATTCCTTTGTATCACCTTCCTCTGTAAAACTGCTCTCCGCCTTAGAAAAATGTTTATTTAGGAAATACCTCAAATTTCTCAACGCCTTTAACTTATTTCACTCTTTTTTTTTTTCTCTTTGACTTAACTGATTTCTTTCCCCGGTCCTGATTAGGATAGCAGGATTTAAGGTGAAAATGTTTTCATTATTATTCTCATTTCCTCTGCTACTCTCTGAGAGAGTGAAAAGTCTACACACACACACACACACCTATGCTTTAATGACTCTTTTCTATATATTGCAGTCTCTGTAGAGATTTGAAATAAAGTGAAATAAAATATGCCTTCAGACAGCAAGTAGTTTTTATGTCTTTGACTGAAAACCTTCAGGTTGGTACCAGCAGGAGCCATCCTTCACGCGCACTTCTTTCCTTCCCAGAACACTGAGGAGTGGACATGAAAGCAGAGCTTTATAGGCAATGTCTTTTTGCAGAACTCCAGAACGTCCTTTACTCTTCTTGTCTTCAGGGCTTCTGCTCTGCTGTGAGCTAAGCAGTAGACATTTCTCTCACTGCTTGGCCCAGGATTTACGCAGAGAAATTTCAGTATGGTAAGAAGCAGCAGGGAGAGAAGTCAGAATTGCTGCTGAGATTACAAAGAGCGCGTGGGCAGCAGAAAGTACTGCAAGCAAGAACAGGAGATAAAAAGAAATGGCTAATGCTACCTGAAAAGTACAGCCTCTTTTAGAAGTTCAAACTAATTTTAACTCAGAGATTATGCATATAACTGATGGAAATGACAGAAGTAATTGCAATAAAGCACTGGTATTTTTGCAACAAACCTTAGTGCAGAAAGGCTACTAAACAGCTACTAAACAGCTACCCTGAGTAAACAGGTTGGATATGAGAGCTGAGGACGTGTTCTCAAGACATGACTTATTCTATACATGCTTTCTTAGATTTAAAATCTTTACATTTAAGATAAATCTCCACTGAAAGATGATGGAAATGCTGGAGATGAGGAAAAGTGATGGAAATACTGGAGACACCTCATGTTTCCTGCACATGCATTCACTCATATCAGAAATTTTCCAAATGACTTCCCAGTCCAAAAAGAAGCACAAGGAGAGAATCACACAGTGGGCTGTATTGCCAAAAGCATGGCCAGTCCATGAAGAGAAGTGATGTGTTATGATTTCCTGTATGGACCAGAGGGGAAACCAATAAGGAGATTTATTGTTCCAAATAAAAATGCAGTCTAAGATTTACTGGTAGATACAGTTTTCTCTGACATTTATATATAAAATTCTAAAATGTTTTTTTTTAATTGTCACTGTGTATTTGTTGTCTTTTCATGCAAACAGAGGCAAAGCATACGCAATGTTTTTCCACTATACTCTGTTTCTGCTGAAATGGCTGACAAACAAGGAAGGAAAAAAACAACGGGCAGACCATTGGGCTGATGTGCCATTACTGTAGCCCATGAGATTCCAATTTTCAGGGCACAGCACCATCAGGAAGTGTCAAGCAGTGCCACAGTGCATGTCACCCACTTCCATATGCAGTCAGTATCAGAATGCTGGATGCCAGTGTGCAAACAAGCAAGTCTTTATGCAGCTCCAGTGCCTTCATGCAGCCCCTTTTACAGCCTTGCTGCTGTAACTGCAAGGCTTGGCAGTCTGCTGTGTAGCTATACCAGCCTGGAGTTGGCCTTGAGAGGTTTGAAACAGTACTTCATCATGATATGCACCTGAGCTGTCAGATGCAGGCACAGAAATGAGAACAATCCAGAAGACTGTATGTGAAGTACCACAAGATACAGGCTTAATGTATTCTTTGCCTTAAACAATAAAGTTATTTCAAGCTACTCACTAATTTAGAATAAAATTTGATTCCAATAATTTGCCCTAAAATCAGCCAGTGCTTGCTTGACAGTATGATGTTCTATTGCTAGAAACCAAACAGAACAGTGATTCCCTCATTAAATGGAATAATAAATAAACAGTCTGAGTTTGCAGTACATTTTCTTTCTTTGGTTGTTGCACAGGTTCTGTCATCATAAAGTGTAGTTTTAACAAATATGTCTTCTTGTGTTCTGCTAAATACATTGCTCTTTTAAGATCTTACAGTTACTCTCCAGAAGCTGCACAGTATCTGCTGGACAGTGGAGAATCCTTTCACAAGAAGATTTTTATACACCAAGTATGGCTTCATAGTGCTTATGGCCAGAAAGCTTTCACATCACAGACTTCTATTTTGTTCGTATTCCACCTGTTTATTTTCAGAGGTGAGCTCTACAGACTTCACACAATCTAAAGCATGGAAACTGCTGTCCATTTTATCCCTACTCTGTTTTTTTTTAAATCAGAGCAGAGAAATACAAGGGTGTGAACATGCAGGTGTTTGCACTTGTAGTGAAGCAGTTCTAAAATGTTGCTTGTCCTTATCTGAAGTGCAGTAGCTGGATGTTTTCACTGATCATTTACTGCAATACAAAGCAAATTAATTTGCATTACAAGTTATAGAGGCTATCCAGTCTCCACTGTGTGGCCTCCTCAGTACTACGTTTTTTCCTCATTAGCGGAGCGATGCCAGTGGGAATTATTTAATCTCAGAGATTATTCTTGAGAACTGTTTTAAGAGCATTCATCTTAATAAACACAATAAAAGCAGAGGGCTTGAAGGGGGGAAATAATTTCTCTTGTAGTTTTATCAAACATGACAGGAAAGCATCTCAGGATCCTTTACTTTATTACAATTTCAGATGCAAATGAAGATAGAAATCTGAAATGTATAATCCACGAGCTTTTGCTCCTGCTCCTAACCAGAGGACAGAATTGATTTAAGGCCAATTAGGATCATTGCGTGATAAGAATATTTAAGCAAATAATGAAAAGAAACAGCAGGCTATGAAAAGAACATTTCTCAAACACCAACAGCAATTAACACTTAAATGCTTTGAGAATTTAAGGTGAACAAGTATCTCACCAAATATTATTTTGACCCAGGTGTTATAGATGAGGCAACTACAGCATGGAGTAAAAACCTCAGAACTGTGAAATTTTGCTTTCATATTTTTATCAGGAAAAAAAAAAAGTCACTTTTTTTTTTTTTTTTTTTTTAGGTATTTTCAATGAAATCATGGAATCATGTTGAAATTAACCTCCTTTGCATTATAAGAGCACAGACTAAGTGGCCCGGAAGGTCAGATGTAATATGGAATGAAAACAGAAGCGCCAGTACTATAAAAGTTCTAAGTTCTGCCTTTTACCAGGGAATTTGCTACTGATATCTCATTTTAAAAATATATATTTGGTTTATGCACTTCTACAGGGTTTGAAGAGGACAGAACATTATTCCCCTTACCACCTACTGGACTCCAAATAGACTTTCCCTTGCTCTGTCTGCAGACTGAGATTGCTCCTTAGTAGCCTAAATCCTTGCAAAGAGCAATTTTGCACATTCATCTGCAAGTTACTACAGCAGTTTTTATTCACACATTCAGGAACTGACAGAAGCATTCTGCATGTGTGCAATTAGTTCCATGCAGCTACACGCATTGTTCAACAACATTATTAGTAGGGAGGTAAAACAACGTTATTATTAGGGAGGAAATGCCACCACTACCTTCTAGTAAATGAAGAGGCAGTTTTAGTCATAATTATGGGTTAAGTTACCGAATTGTAGAAATTACTGTTTTCTATAATAAGTATAAATTACATTTATTTAGAATTCATGGATAATTTAAGAAATGGTTTAACGTATGGCACATATAATGAGCAGAGAACTGAAGAAGGCACTGATGTGTTTTACCATCTCACTTCTTGCAGGAAGGAGGCACATGGCGTTCTGAGTTATTCCCTGGGAACCGCTACGACAGCCTGAGGCCAGGCAGCCCTCAGAAGAACTCGCAGCCATTTGTGCTCGTGCTACTGAAGATTCTTTACTGTATGAAGCCAAATTAAACACTTTATCTCAGTCCTGGAAGAGCTTGGGAGACTTCAGATGTGTCTTTAGAAAACTCCAGAGATCCTCTGAGACTGAGAGAGTTAAGACAGCTGTGATTCAGTTGTACTCAAACTGTGTATCAACACCAAAAATGAATTTTTGGCCAAGCAAGTACATCAAAACAAGCAAACACTGAAGGAGTGTTTACTTGAGCAGCGCAGTTATGATTCTCTATTTAAACTGCACTATTTTCAGAAATCAAATATAGAATTTGCTTTTCAGTTCACAGATTTTGTCAATCAATTTTTGGTTGGTCCTTGTTTTTATATTTTAACGTACCTTTCAGGCCAGCTTTAAAAGCAAAACTCTGTCCAACTGTTGTCTATGATAGCAAAAGCCTGATTGTCTCATGTGCCGACTGCCACAGGAAAAGAGAAAAAGAAAAAAGAAAGAGAACGAGAAAACAGAATCAGGGCGGAGAATGGGCAGCTGTGATTCTTCTGACCAGCATTCGTTATTTTTAGTTACTGTTAGTTCTCATCAGTCATTGCTGCA